AATAGGTTTTCATTTTGACATGGTTTAATTTTATGGAAATGTGTATTAAAAATTAATCCTGCTAGGCTGCCCAATGTTTCCAGTCTTAGTTCACACCCTGCAATAAACCCAGATCAGAGTAACTTTTCCAAAGTCTGTGTATCTGTACATATTTGCATTGTTATCAAGAGTAGCTGTAATAGTTATATCACTAGGATGAGGTACAATTTCCAGAAGCAGTAATTGAAACAGCAGAGTTATTGCTAAGCCTTCAATAAACCTGCAGTGCATTCTGCTTAAAGTTATTTCAGAATCCAATATACAATTAATATTTCTATTCCTTTTAGGAGTGAATTACATTTTAGTCTTCCTTATAGCTGAGATTGCATATAAGTGGCATCACAGAAATTTACAGCCAGAACAGACACCAAACACTTGGCCCAGCTAGCATTTCTCTGTTGTTAAATGCTCATTTCAAATGTACTCCCTGCCTCAAAACCCAGTGTCTTGTGTTCAACTCATAACTGCTTATTGCTCTACAGCATCCCTGCCAAGTCACTGCTGTCTGCTGAATGTTAACTTTCAAAGCAGGGAAATGTAGAGAGTTTGGTTTTCCTTTTTTTTTTTGGGGGGGGGTCATGTTAGCATCACACTGAAAATAAATTCAGAGAGATACATCATTCAAGTACCAAGGAAAGGCAGAGGTGTATGGAAAACCAGCTGTCAGCAAATTATCTGCTACTTACAGAACTGAGATTAAACTAAAGCAGGTGGCAACTCTAGACAGCCATTTGTGTCCTCCATTGGAAAACACATTTCAATGTCTCCCACAGCAGAGGTCCAGGGCTAGGAGGATGGAGGTCCATTCTGAAGCACTGACACAAACACTTACTGAAAGCTGCTGGGTCATATCAAAACAAAATTATTACATGAGAGGGCACAAAGGAAGTGATAAATTCACCACAAGAAACACTGCTGAAGCCAAATGCTGCATTTTGATATTTAAATCACATCAGGATTTTGCCAGTTGAGTATTTCAGGTATAAATTTTGCCAAAATACCATCATTTTAATGAGGTAGCATCTTCCGAAGGGAAGGAGGAAAGCTTTAGCCAACCATGGTCACAAGGCAGGCACACTTCAGTCCCTGCAGAGGAACAGCACACAAGGCTGCAGAAGGATACATTACAGATGACACAGGCAAAGCAAGGTGTGGTATTTGCTGTTGCTTGGCTCACATCTACATAAGCTTGAAACTGCCTCTGACCTTGATCATTGGAGTAACAACCTGCAGAGCATCTGGAGCTGGTTTCTCACAGCTGACTTAAAGGACAAGCAAGGTAGGCAGTTCCCTACATAGAAGGATAAGAAAAACACCTGGCAATATGACTAAGGTGTCAGAGAAGGCCAGGAAAATATATAAAATGCTCTGTGAGCGGTCAAAGATGCAGCTATCAAATGGATCTTAGAAATGAATGGAAGGCACCCCCCTGTCCTCCCCTGGTGCTCTAGCCCAAACAGTATCTTTGGAGACAGGGATCTCCAGGAATATCACTGGAACATACTTGCACAGCAAGAACTGGTTTGCCTAAATATTAGTCCATCTGCAAAAAATACCCACAAGCACCTTCTTCTGGGGCCAAACACCTGAGCCTTTAAATTACTTAGTCCATAGAATGGTTTGGATTGGAAGGGACCTTAAAGAACACCTCTTTCCACCTACCCCTGCCATAGGCAGGGACATCTTCCACTAGACCAGGTTGCTCCAACCTCTGTCCAGCCTGGCCTTGAACACTGCCAGGGATGGCGCAGCCACAGCTTCTCTGGGCAACCTGTTCCAGTGCCTCACCACCCTCATAGTGAAGTTCTTAATATCTAATCTAGATCTCCACTCTTTCAATTACCACACAATTCATTCTGATCCCAACAACTGGCTGGCTTACTTGAAGATCCATTTATTAGATCCTAATTAAAATGAGAAACTAGCAAAACTCCCACACCACCAGGTCTGATCCAGTGGGGAGCAAAGACTGACCAAGCCTTCCCAGATTATACCAGCAGCATTTGACAAAATGAGAGGCTGTAAGAGAAATAGCAGAAACACTCCCAAGGGATGAATTCCTAAGAAAACAAAATAGCTGTCCCTCAGCAAACAGGACGAGACTTAGCTCTCTGTAACTCTCAAATCCTTCCTGATGAAAACATTTACCTCTCATAGTTCATTATGCACAAAAAGAGGCCAAAGCACCAAGAGGCAAATAACAGCATAAAATAAAACAAACCATGGCTGACTGTGAAAAGGAGGCTTTGAATGAGCACAGCTCTGTTCATTTACTGCTTTCTGCCAGGCAAACTTCTGATTATTGACTGGTGCCAAGGAAGCAGCTAACCTTCAGGGATCACAGCAGACTTAATATGCCTTCAGATTTTCAGGCTGGCTGTGTCCAGCTGCAGGCATGAGCAGCTGCAACTGTTCTCTGACCTCTCCAGGGCACCAATTGCTGTAATCACTGCAGGAAATTTGAGAAATCTGGGGATTTTCTTTCTGTCATTACACTCCAACATTGCAATTGCTTCCCAAGGTCAACATCAGGTTGCTGCTTTTGCTGCTCCATACTGCCTAAGGTTTTCAACATCTGACACATGACCTGAAGTGAAAATGTGTCAATTAGAGTTATGGAACCTTTCTTACCTGAGCCCATGCAATTACAGCAGGAAATACACTTAACAAGAGAAACTATGCTTGAGGTGACTGTTCTTGCATTTTATCTGCTATTAAAAGCCATTAATTTTAACAGCAAAAAAAAACATCATGGGAATAGCTAGAAATCCATTCTGCATAAATTAATGCCAGACATCAGAGTATTGCACCACCAAATATACCTAGTTTTACTTATCTCTCACTATATTTTTTTACATCTACCGGCCTAATCACTTTGCATTTGCAGTGATAGCTGTGCCAGAACACTTACAAGACAGCAGTTCTGATTCATATATGGATTATAAATCAGCACTTCCATACTGCTTCATGTCTCTCCTGGTTCTCCAAACTCCATCCCAAATCATATTGCAAAGGGTCAGTCAAATTTTCACTGAAGCTTTTGAGTGTTAGGCTGTTTTCTGGGATGACTTACCTCCTCAGTGCTTGAGAGGATCAAGTGTCAAAACAACTGGCATCTCAGTCAAATTGCTAAGTATTCCATTTTCAGTAAACAAGTATTTTATCAAGACTTGGGCATGATCTATGCAAAGTAAGCAGCAAGACATTTAAACCTTTGTATTAACTAAGACAAGTGGGTCCAGATGCATAGCTTTTCTCCAGACTATACATTAAGAATTGATTTGCATTATAGCAAGTATATGAACCAAAACAAGTAGGTATTTAGACATCATTGACACCAGGATATGATTGATACCAGCCACAGCAAGTCTTACTCTTGCTGAATCATTTCTATTTCCTATCTAATGCCTCTAATGCATCCATGTCTACTGTATCCATTACTCTATAATAGGAATGCTTGTCTGAAAACATTATTCTTACTACCTGCCATTACAAATGACTACTTGGCCATCACCCATCCATTCCAAGCAATCCTGGATCCTGGATGTTTGAAATACAGCTCCGGTTCCTGTCTCCCAGAATTAAGGGCAACAGACTAAAACTTTCAGCCCTAATCATGTCTGTGTATTGATCTTTGGCACATACCAAGAGGCTTACCTTCTTTCTATATAGGTACATAAATTATCAATTTAAATATAAATTGAATGCTGCTAAACCTTACCCTGGTCCAGGCTGATCTCAGTACATCTCATTTATGCTCTAAACAACATTGCCTTACGTCATGAGTTCTGATGCTTTATATCATACTTGATTTAATCAAGGCTTTGACTGTTAAGAGAAGACAAAAAAAAAGCAGCACAAAGCCCAATTTGCTACGAACAAAATGCTGGTATTTAGCCAGAAACCTGCCTAACTTTAAAAATAAGCATTAACTTTCAGTGCTTTAAAATGATGCATCTAGCTATCCAACTCATTTCCCTATTCCACTTCCTAACAGAGATCCTTCTCAGACCACTGCAATCAAAGACCCATTACTAACACCACTGTTTCAGCAGCATCAGAGTATCATCTGTTAACAGTCTTGTATCTTCTACTCTGAATTCCAGACTTTGGATCTTGGGATTTTTTAATTACTTATGGGGTTTGTCCCAAAGATAGCCTTTGAAACATGCACAGCCTGCTAGCTTCCCAGCCACTCACCATCACCCTCAGTGCAATCAGGAGCAAACAGCAGGTCAGTTAATTTTATGCCAAGGCAGCAGCTCTCAAAGCAGTACTATATATAGATATATATATGTATATATGCATATATATATATACACACACAAAATACTTCAAGGAGCACTTTGGCAGAAAGAAACAAACTCCATAATTCCTTTCAAGGGAAAGCTTTAAGTTCTGTAGTTCATTTTCCATACCAACTGCACTTGAGGAAGAAAGGCACACTTCCAGGACAGTCCTTGTTAGATTAAATCATGGAACAAACTCCTTTGACATCAAGGCAGTAGCTAATTTCAGTCTAGTTTCTCCCATTGCTATTCAGTCCCAATGCAGATCATTTGCAGGAACTTGAGACCACAGGGTACTCCTTCAAAGATCATATGCCCTTATTAAAGTTATATCAAGCATACTCATTCATGTTGCTCCATGTTTAATGTGGAATAACAATGCTGTAAGCACATACTGTTTTCACTACTCTTGCATATTAAAACCAGAATTTAACTGCACGCTGCAGAAGCCAACAACACTTTTCCAGACTGAATTAGCTGGATTTACCCCGAAACATTGTCCATTTAGTGCAGGCAAAGTAAGAGTAAGCATCACAATTTCACTTGACATCTACCACCCACATGACTAAGCAGCTATTTCCTGCAGAACTTGTATTTCCTCTGAAAGCCTGCAATCCAGAAGGAAATTAACACATAGCTTTGCCCATTGGAGCACTGAAGCCAGAACAGCACTAAATCCAACCAGATCTTTATTACTATTACATGAAACACTGTTCCCAGATATTAAACAAAAAGTAATTAAGTCCAGAAGCCAGCTGCATGTTTTCAGTACCCAGAATATCCAACTTATTAAGCTCTTCACTTTCCATAGCAAGTTTCTTCCTGTTCAATAGATTTCAGAAGTTTGACTCACAGCACCATTTTAAGCTATATATCCAGAAGAAGCACAAGTCATGAAAGGTTAGGTTGCAAAAGTCTAAATCCTTACAGTTGCATTTCACTATTGTTGAATATTATGAGAGTTCTTTATTAAAATAAACATTAAAGTGCCAGGTTTATGTACAGACTATTAAAACAATAGTTAAAAAAGGTAAACTTAAAACCTGCTAAGAAAGCAGTAAGGCCATGTAGCTGACTCCAGAGTTTTCAGCAGGGTATTCAGTAAATCTAAGACCAGAATTTCCCAATGGCTCCTTTGTTTATAGGGAGAACAGCAGAAGCTAGTGGTCACTGCCCATAACCTCCTGTCTTGCAGAAGGAGCATACCCATATTTATCACAAAACAGAGTAGCATACGTTCCAAGAGATAAATCTAAACATCCTATGAATTAACACCATTGGCAAAGCCTAATAAAAGTTATTTTACTGCTGGAGCTACACTAGCTTCCTGGAAAGTACCAATACCACCACACTTTCAGAGTGGGACTTTGGTACAGGAATCAAGTCACACTGACTCAATACATCTAGTGTTTCCCTGTAAACAGGAGCACACACACTAACTCATATGGTTTCAGTTCATTTAAAACTCTGCATCCAGGGTGAAAGAGTTGTCTGTGGGCTTCGACATGACTCCCATCCTCTGATATTCACCTACTCGCTTCTCAAAGAAATTGGTCTTGCCCTCCAGAGAGATGTTTTCCATGAAGTCAAAAGGATTCTCTGCTTTGTATATCTGAAACACAAAGGCAATTCTATAGTCACTACAGGTACTCGCATCTTGAATGTATGAGAGCATTAGCAAGCAGCTGGAAGGAGGCTAATGACCTCAGCAGGCTTACTATGTAGTGAATCAAAATCTCTACCCCAAGCCTTCTATTGCATTTATTTGTTCCTGCCTTTTAGCTGCAGTAGACAGAATTACAGCAACTCTTACACAGTTATTTTTCCATAGCATCCTTCTGCAAGTCTCTAAACAGGATGTAAGAGCAAGATTGCTGAACAGTTTTGCAAGTTAGATTCACATTGCTGCAGTCATTTTAGGATTTGGCTTTCTGAAAAAAATGAAACTTAATATGGTTTTTTCCATGAAAGATTCAGTGTGTTAAGTCTTACCTTGTTAAATCCCAGTTCCAACATTAGCCGGTCTGCTACAAACTCTATGTACTGTTTCATTAAAGTGCAGTTCATGCCAATCAGCTTCACAGGCAGTGCCTCTGTCAAGAATTCCTGCAGATAAAAGAAGCACTTCATGTACAGAAACTGGAATTCACTCTGTACCATGCAGGTCAATTTTGTACCCAACAGCTCCCCAGCTTTCTGCCTAATTGCGATCAAGCTCCTCAACAAGGAGCAGACAATTACCTGTTCTATGAGAACAGCATCCATGATGATTTCCTTTACCCTCTCTTCTGATGGTTTGTGTATCAAGTGCTTGAACATGAGGCAGGCAAAGTCACAGTGCAAGCCCTAGAATGAAGTTTAGGAAAATTATTTCACGAACAGAAATTTAAAAGAGCCACTCAAATCAGTAGCACAGAATAAATGGCACCATCTTTGCACTTGCTGCACTAGTGCAACTTTCTGCCTAACCAGAAGGAGGCATAAGTTCAGCCACTACCAGCTGCCCTTGCTCCGAGTGGCAAGAAACACTGAGTGCAAGAGCTGGTGAGAAGCCTCAAACTACTTTGGAAGTAAAATGCTCAGTTCATTCATTCTCTGCTGCAAGACCCACGATGACACATTTACACAGTTTAGTGAGCTTTATAGACTGTTTCTAAACATACAGTCTTAAAACATAGGCTCCAACTGAATATCATTACTTTGAGATACTGTAGCACATTACCATCTTAACTGCTAGAATTTGATTCATACCTCATCTCTACTGATGAGTTCGTTAGAAAAAGTGAGTCCAGGCATTAATCCTCTTTTTTTCAGCCAAAAAATTGATGCAAAAGAGCCAGAGAAGAAGATTCCTTCCACTGCTGCAAAAGCTACTACACGTTCCCCTGTCAAGAAAAGATTGATATTACTATCACACAGAAAACTTAATAGGATTAATACCCAGAAGCCGCAAATAGACCAGTGAACTGCATCCTCCAAGGAGAATGAAGTTTCTGCTCAAGTGTATAAAGCCCTGTCCTTAAAAGCTGTTTCAGTAAAGGCTTCTGGTCATTCAGCAAACTTTTCAACACAAGAGGAAGCAAAAAGTAACTGGCAGGGTTAAGTAGCTGAAGCCAAGGCTCTTTCCCCCAGGTTAAACAGCAACACCATCCTTTTTTCAAAGATTGCACAATAAAACACAGCCATCATTTTAACAGCTGATGTCAGTGTCTGCTCATCTTTGATTAAGGAAGTTTGGCTATGAAAAATGCTTTAATACTAGTGAAATGGTGATCCATACCATCTCATATAACCTTTGAAGCAAGGTATCAGGAGTCAGCAATACAGAATGGGGGCTACAGCCTCCAACTGTACATGTTCACTGGAGCTAGACAGCCAGTATAGTTCTGGACACAACAGCAGTTTATAATGATCATACAGCCAGGCATAAAACACATTGCCACATGAGCTACCATTATTCAAAATGTCAGCAATTTTATGAAGATTCATGGCAGCAGCTCAATTGCAAAAGTATTTTCTTCAACTCCAGAATTATACCAGTGTCATATACTGGCAAGTACATACTTTCCTGTAAGAGCAATGATCCCCGTGAAATCTGGACAAATAGCGGGTTTTGCCTTTTTTCAGGAGGAAATTTCACTTAGCTCTCAATAGATGTACTCACCATATGTTGCTTTCTTGTCCCCAATCCAGCGCAAGGCCCAGTCAGCCTTCTTTTTAACGCACGGTAATGTTTCAATGGCATTAAAAAGAAATTCCCTGAGAAAGATAAAAGCCATTAGGATCGGACATCAGCACAACTAGTACAATAAACACCCGCTACCATAAATGGCCTTGTTCACTTACAAGTGCTCTGCACCTTCACCCTCATAATTAAGTTATATCTCCAATCTCATTTTGCACCAGTGTAGCTCTATGTGTATCAATAAACTATCTTTTCATCACCTAGTCATGACATCAACACCAGTCCACATGGACAATATGAAATGCTGTACTTAAACAAGGCTTTCTAAACTACAGATCAACTAGTATCCACTCCAGTAGCAACCACCAGAGCTCTCATGCGAGCAGCTCTTCTTTATACATTTACTGGAATGAAGCACCTCAGTGTAGAAATGACATGGTCAGCTTCCTACAAAGTAGCAGCAATTAAATACATCTAAGACAGCAAATAGCATTCCAATACCACATGACATTTCACTCAGCAGGGGCATTAGTCTGACAAGACAACAGCAGAATAATTCAGTCTGCTCAAAGCCCTGCATTTACTTTTAAGATACTGTTCTTGAATTGATTCATCTTATTATGATTATTGTACACTTTTGGTTTTATTGTTAATCAAGACCAGACCCCACTTGTCAGCAAAATAGTCAAGTAAGGGCAGCACACAGTATAAAAGTGTAGCTGGTAACTAAATGCAGTGAGTTTAAGAGATGATATTGTAATAAAAGTGGCATTCTCAGAATTTTTCCAACACAGCTTTCTACTAGGTGCATAGCTCCTCCATGTAAGTGCTTACTATAATTTAATACACTCCCCTTATTCAGCTGCTCCATCTTCTACCTAGATTCATTCCTTTATTTCAAGATTAAATTGCTTCAGTTTCACTCAGTCTAAGCAAGTTCTTGCTCACTTCAGAGAAGGAAAATAAGAATATAAAAATACAGAGGAACATGTCACTGCTTTTAAGCAGCAGGGGTATTTTATATCAATCTGGTTTAAATCCTAAAATTAGCCTTAAATTCAGAGTGACTGATATGTGTCATTTAAATCTCAGCCCATAAAAAGTTTTGAACCTTTCTTGAGCAGTACGAACCTTTCTTTAGAATCTTTAATGTAGGTGTCAATAAGAAGACTGTACATTTCCGAATGTATGTTTTCCATGGCAATCTGGAAGCCATAGAAACAGCGAGCCTCTGTGACTTGCACTTCTTGACTGAACCGCTCCACCTAGAGGAAATAAGTGAGAGTGAAAGCATTTACAACGTTGCAGGTTAGGTAGACATCGATGCCATCTAACAGCTTTTGCTCAGCCCAGAGAAGCCTCTTCAGATTCATTCGAGACGTGAGTTATTAACAGCAATATGAAGAACAGTAGCCACTCACAGCTCCAAGGCATGAGTTATTCTTCACGACTTCGAGCTGAGAGTGAAATGAGTGAATTTCTTAGCTTTAATTATTGCCCATTAGTGAGAACACTGGGCAGTGGGCAAACTTCTGGATTACAAAGCAATCCCATTTTGTTAATTAGCATGAGACAATACTACATGCTGTAATGCTACATAATCTAGCAAACAAGCTAGATGAGTCCAGCAAGCATGTCAAACATAGCTATCTGCTTATCTTCACAAAGTGAGGTTTCTCTCGGACCTGTTTCTACATACTTACCAAGTTTTCATTGACAATGCCATCGCTGGCAGCAAAGAAGGCAAGAACATGAGAGATGAAGTACTTCTCCTCAGGCTTCAGGGACTCCCAGTGCTGGAGGTCTTTGGAAAGATCCACCTAAAACATTATCAGAAGCAGACATTAAATACATAGAGATGGGGCTCCAGGAGACTGCACCTCAAATCCTGTGTTCAGTTCTGTGCCCCTCACTACAAGAGAGACATTGAGGTGCTGGGACAAGGCCAGAAAAAGGAAAAAAAGCTGAAGGGTCTGGAGGTGCTGAGGGGACAGGGGTTGTTTCATCTGGAGAAAAGAAGGCTCTGGGGGAACTTATCACTCTCTACAACTGCTTAAAAGGCGGCTGTAGTAAAGTGTCTCTTCTCCTAAGAAAGAACTGATAGGGCAAGAGGTAACAGCCTCAAACTGCATCAGGAGAGGTGTAGATTAGGTATTAGAAAAGAATCCTTCACCAGAAGGGTAGTCAGGCATTAGAACAGGCTGCCTGGGGAATTAAGCGGTTGAGTCACCATCCCTGGAGATATTTGAAAGCCATGCAAATGTGGCCCTTAGTGATAAGGTCTAGCAGTGGACTTGGCAGTCCTGGGGTAATGGTTGGGCTCGCTGATCTTAAAGGTATTTTCCAACCTAAAGGATTATATGATTGGGGTGAAGCACACGCCAGAGCCCTGGGGTTGCAGGCGGGAGCACCCTGTCGGGAAGGCCGTTCTGGGGGTACCTCACCTCCTCCGCCGTCCAGAAGGAGGCCTCGGCCTTCTTGTACATCTGCCAGATGTCGTGGTACTGGATGGGGAAGATGACGAAGCGGCGGGGGTTGTCCCGCAGCAGCGGCTCCTCCTGCTCCTCCGCGCCCCGCGGCACCTGGAGCAGCAGAGACAGCGGCTGAGGGGGCGCTAGGATTTGGCGGGAAACTGAGGGACGACAGCTGGCGGTAACGGAGGGAGGGACGGGTGATCCCCGTGGGGGAGACGGGAGTACCGCAACACCCGGCGGGGACATCGAGGTATCGCCCATGGGAGAGAGGACAGCTAAGCGGGGATGATATGAGCCGCCGGAAAAGGGGAGACGGGAGAAAGACCCGGACTTTCTGCACTCACCGGCTTCCCATCGCCCTCCTGGAAGATGTTGCGGGCCGCCTTGCTGGCAAGGATGCGGGTGCTGCTGAACACGGGGGGCTGCGGGGAGAAAGCGGCAGGGTGAGAGAGCGGCGGCGGCGGCGGCCCCGGGCAGGGAGCGGGAGGAAGGGCTGACGCTCACCGTGTTCTCTTTGTCTCTCAGCGACAGGTTCTTCATGGGTGACAGGCCCTTCATGGGCGAGCGGCAGGGCTGGTCGTTGCGGGCTGCGAGCGGTGCGCGGGAGGACAGCATAGCGGCGGCAGTGGCGGATCAAGCACTGGGAGCTGGGAGCACCGCGCCGCCCCCTTATAACTGCTTCGAACTTGGCGCCAGAACGCGCCGCCGGCCACTCGCTGCCCGCGCCGCGCCCGCCACCGCCCGCCCCCCCCGCTCCCATTGGCTGGCGCTACGGTCGGGGCCCCGCCCCCCATTGTGGCGGCGGCGGCGGGAGGGAAGGACCCGCCCTCCTCTTTGGCGCCAGGGGAGTGGGGGGGAAAGGCGGAAGAGCACAGAGGCCACGCCCCCTCCCCCGCTCCCCGGTTTGGCGCGGAATTCGGCGTGGGACATGGCCCCGGGGAAAGGAGGGTTCGGCTCTGAGCACTGGCTGCGTGCGCGGTGTCTCGTAGTGAGGGCGTTAGCTGGTGTTACACCTGGCTCCGAGAGGGTCGGGGTCCTATAGGAAACCGGAAAACTTGTTTCCGGGTACGGGATGGCCGTAATCTGGGTTTAAGGTAAAGATCTGGAAATGCCACGGTGCCTCCATCCCTGTCTTGCTCTCCCGGTCTCTTTCCTGGGCCCTCCCACGTACCGATTCGTTTTCACTTTCAACACTGATTCCTGCATTTGGTGGCAGAAATCGGCTTCCTGGAGAAACTGACTCCTTGCGCCACCTGGTCCCATGTTTTAGATAAACAGCACAAGAAAGAGAGAACACAGGTATGAAGAAGAGGTGAATACTCGTCTTTAAAAAATCAGCATTATTTTCTGTTCACGAAATTCCATTCATTTGAACAACAGTGTTTCCCTCATCCAGCTCTGCAAAGGATCTGCTTCTGCCAACCAAAAGTGTTTATCCTGAAGCAGTTTTAATGAAACCAGGAGCTCAGTCAGACTCAGAGGGACTTCTGTGTAGGACGAATGCACAATGTTCTTGAATGACACTAAGTGGTCACTGTCATCTGAGCTCATGCTCCAAGGACCTGGTACTAGTAGTTACATGGCCTCTGGCACTCTGAATTCACATTCATTATTTGTTTCAGCAGGTCAGTATTATGGGCAGAAATTTGGGTCTGAGCTCTCCTCAGATGAGATGCATCAGAAATAGTGAGCAGGGAGATCAGGCTTCTGGTATTTATTGGTCATATTTAGAACATCAGGCTGATGCAGGCGCCCACCCAGGAGATGTTCTGTGGGGTATTCTGTAGCAGCCCACTACACAAATCTAATACACACCTCCATCCCAGCAGAGCGAGCACTGCAAAACCCCATCCTAGCAGGCAGCCTGGACAGGCATGGACACTCTTGCTGTGTTCCAGGAAAGCAGGTCCCAAGGGCAGGCATGTGGGGCAGCTCACCAGCACCCACATAGCACCCTACTATCTCTTGCTGCCTCTACAGTGGCTGGGGGGGGGGGGGGTTGGGGTGTGACAGAGAGCTACGGCAGCACCCTCCCCACCTCAGCCAAACTCATCCACCCTCCTACCCCAATAAAGGACCCCAAAGCCATCAGCCCCCAAGCTGTGGTGCAACGGCTGTGCTATCACTGCAGCTCAGCCACTCTTCTCAGAAGCCTATGGCAGGGAATCAAAGCCCTGCCCTGAGGACAGTGGGTCTGCAGAGAGAGGAAACACAAGACAACACAGAAAGGGCCTGCGAGGAAGCACATTGCATCTCTGTGCTACTGTACCTGCAGCAAAATGGTATTTAGGAATGAGTGTCCACACTGAATTTTCCTGTTACAGCAGTTTAACCCCAGGACATTTGCTCCTCAGGGCACATCCCCAAGGTTTACACGGTGTGCACATTACTTAGCTGTGTACCCACTAGTGGTGTCGTGAAGGAAAGCAAGTATGAAGAGTCCTCTCCCCTTCACATACATCCTCCTCCATTATGCAGCTGCATTTTGGGACCAGCATTTTCAAACCAGCTGCATGGCCAGTGCTGGGTCCTTGCTTCAAAATGCCAGTGCTCAGCATCACACTGGGGGATGTCAGCTGGCTCGTGCCCTCTTTGGTTGTGTAAAGTATGCTCTGCTCTTCTGACTTCTGGCCCAGAGTGCAGTACTGTGTGTTTAAAACACACAACACTCCAAACGTTGAATTAGCTTCATGCCTTCTTGCTTGCAGGAATTCAGGTACTCAGAAAGGTGGAAGTAACAACAGCCTGGGGCGGTGGGGCAAGGCTATATGGGGTGTTGTGTAACTGTGCTGTTCACACAGGTCCCCTACAACACTGCTCACCCTGAGTGGCCCCAGCACCCACCTTCACTCAGGCCTGGCACATCTCATCAGCCTCATATGAAGCTCAGCAGCAGCTACTGCTGCTGTGGGATCCAGTGGGATCCAGCATGACAAAGCCCCTTCCCACAGGCACAGCTTATAGCCCCAGACTTCACATCCACATCACAGTTCTGCTTCATCATAGAATCATAGAATAGTTAGGGTTGGAAAGGACCTTAAGATCATCTAGTTCCAAACCTGCACCATGGGCAGGGACATTTCACACTAAACCATCTCACCCAAGGCTTCGTCCAACCTGGTCTTGAACACCGCCAGGGATGGAGCATTCACAACCTCCCTGGGCAACCCATTCCAGTGCCTCACCACCCTAACAGGAAAGAATTTCCTCCTTATATCCAATCTAAACTTCCCCTGTTTAAGTTTTAGCCCATTACCCCTTGTCCTATCACTACAGTCCCTGAAGATGAGTCCCTCCCCCGCATCCCTATAGGCCCCCTTCAGATACTGGAAGGCTGCTATGAGGTCTCCACGCAGCCTTCTCTTCTCCAGGCTGAGCAGCCCCAACTTTCTCAGCCTGTCTTCATACAGGAGGTGCTCCAGTCCCCTGATCATCCTCGTGGCCCTCCTCTGGACTTGTTCCAACAGTTCCATGTCCTTTTTATGCTGAGGACACCAGAACTGCACACAATACTCCAAGTGAGGTCTCACGAGAGCAGAGTCATGATGGGTACTGCCTTAGCTTTCAGTTGACCTACATGATGGCATTAGATAACACTCAGGGCTGGGTCTTTCTTGCTCAGATGATTGGTTTTCTTCCATTTTAATGCAGATTGCCTACAGGACAGACAGTTTTGCTGACTGCCAGCTTGTTGACTGCCTCTCACTGCTGGTCTAACTGATGAAAGCTGGTGAAGATAACTCCATAGCAGACATGGGCTGACTCATCATTAGCTGAGGACACAGCGTTTTCTGATGGTTTTCTCCTGATTTCAGGAGGGTGATTTGTTTCCATGGCTGTGCCAAATCCTGAAATCCTCACTCACTGCTCAATCTGTCGGGGCTGATATTTGTATAGAGCATCATGCTGAAGGGTCCCTGCTTAGGCCTGCAAATGACAGAGCCTGAGTTCCAGTGCGACAAATGGAAATCTAAATACTCTAAGCTGAGGCAGGGTAGGTGAGCAGGAGGAGGCCACCAGCCAATACTGCCAAGATGACAAGCGGTGGTCTCAATGCCCACCAACAGGTTTGCAGGCGGCCCTCAGCATTTCCTCGTGTGCTCACCCAGCTGTGCTGATGAGAAGGATGCTCCACATCTCCCTGCAACCAATTTGAGCTGTAAGGTCTTGGATGAAAACTTCAGTGGTTTGAATGAAATATCGCCCTAATAGCTTGCCTCCCTGATTAGAGATGGTTGCCCTCCACCCACTGCAGGGAGACTGCAGAAACTGAGCGGCAGCGCTCTGCCTCTTGAGCCATGGCACTTTAACAGACTGCTTCACTGAGAAATCTAGAGCAGAATAAAACAAGTCTTAGTTTGATTGTAGCTGGATATCACATGTGCTCATGCAGCCTATTAATGTATAGGTCTGAGAGCACTCTCATTAGTAGCCTGCTTCCCTGATGACTGCCCTTTATGGAGGTAATGAATGGCTGTTGAAAACCAAAGCACTCACATGGTTAGCATCCCCACTGTCTTCAATTGTTTAAAACCACATTTCTTGCCTATTCAAGGCCCTTATCCATCATGTACAGCTCTCAGGACAAAGTCTGCAGGTGTAGTATATGACCACATATGGGGTTATAATGGTGCAACTGCACACGTTGCTCCCTTGCTGCTTTTGAAGCCAAGCAGAGTGCTGCAGACACAGTCCCACAAGTGCCAGATAGTGGAAGCAATCTTAAAAGACTTCTAAGAGCTGCAAAGATGAAGCATTCCAATCAGCTGCACTTGCTGGCCATCAGTGGTCAATAATACACAAGAGCACCACTAATTCTGGTGCCTTCCTTAGGATCTATGAGCATGTTGTGGAGCTGGAGTAGTGAGACCCAGCACTGCATTTGTATGTGTGCTCAAGGATTGTCACCCTTTCTGGTAGCATCACCTACTTATTTCCTGCAGCAGAAGGTGGCAATGACACCAGCAGAAGACTTCTAGCCCACCACTGACCTGCTGAAGCAGGTTTTGGTCTCAGCTCCTGTGCTCTGATCATGGAGACTGTGGCTGATCTCTTGCCAGACATGGAAAATTACAGGTCACTCCTGCTCTAGCAGCCTGTCAATCACCATGGAGGAATAGTGAACTTCCCTCAGGGTTACATTCCCCAGCACTTACTCATCTGAAGAAAGGCACACCCAGGTCCCTCATTTCTGGGCAGGCTCATGTTGTTTATGTGGATCAGGGCTCTTGCACAGCAGTGTTTCTGATGCATCTCACTCATTGCTGCCCTGCACAAGAAGCAGTCTCAGCCATATTTTCCCTCTTGCTCCAGAAAGCAAGCTTGCCATGTTAGCAAAGCAGCTAGGATGTACAGCCCCCCCGTACTTCTGAACGGTTTCCAAGGAAACCAGCCTCAAACTATGAAAGTCAATAACTGAGGAGACAAATGGCAAATGATTTTTCTTAACTGGGTGTCCTGGGTTCAGCAGTAGCAGTCATTTTTCTCCTTCTTGGTAGCTGGTGCAGTGCTGTGTTTTGACTTTCGGCCTGGGAACAGCGCTGATAACACCGATGTTTTTAGTTACTGCTCAAATGTTTGGTCTGGCCAAGAACTTTGTGGGCCTCACGCTCTGCCAGGGAGGAGGGAAGCTGGGAGGAAGCAGAGACAGGACACCTGATCCAAACTGACTGAAGAGGTATTCCATACCACAGCACGGCATGCCCAGGGTGTAATTGAGTTACCCGGAAGGGCTAAGGACTGCAAGGTTGGAGGAGGTATCTGTCAGTGC